TAGAAGGACATCATGGAGGAAAACACTGCTCTCCAAAAAAAAAACATTGCTGTACTTCTCAAGTTTGCAAAAGACCATCGGTGGACGGATGAGACAAAAGTTGAACTCTTTAGAGGAAACACGCAACACTATGTTTGGGTCTGCTTTGCTGCTCAGGGCCTGGACAGCTTGCTATCATAGAGGAAACAATGAATTCAAAATTGTATCAAGAAATTTTACAGGAGAATGTCAGGGTAGCACTCCGTCACCTGAAGCTTAAAAGTTGGGTGATGCAACAAGACAATGAACCGAAACACAGGAGTAAATCAACAACAGAATGACTTAAACCGAAGAAAATTAGTGTTCTGGAATGGCCAAGTCAGAGTCCAGACCTCAACCCAATTGAGATGCTGTGGCATAACCTGAAGAGAGCTGTTCACACAAGGAATCCCAGAAATATCAATGAGCTGAAACAGTTTTGTTAGGAGGAATGGTCTAAAATTCCTCCTAACCATTGTGCAAGTCTCATCAGCAGCTACAGGAAACATTTGGTGGAGGCTATTGATAGATAGATAAAACTTTATTGATACACATACTATTTCCAACCTAGACTATGAATGTTTTAAACTATGTGTCCAATATTGTCAAGAAGAAGTACAATTGTTTCTGTGTTATTAGTTTAAGCAGATTGTGTTTGTCTATTATTGTGACTTGAAGATCAGACCAGATTTTTATGAGTAATTAATGCAGAAATCCAGGTGATTCCAAAGGGTTCACAAACTTTTTTCTTGCAACTGTATATCCCTCACCATCTTTTCCACTTCCTTCTTCTAACGGTCCACTCTTCTTCAGACTATTGGGGTATGCTGTCCCTGTTCTGTAACTTCCTTCTTTGTCAGTCTTTGTGAACACCAGGTGTTTTTCCTTGCCCGCTTCAGATATCCCTCAAACCCATTTATCTTTTCTTTATCTGACCCATGCACATATTCTTTGTGCCCATGAGTCTGTGGAAGTTTATTTTTGCTTTATGTGAACTAATGATTTCAACATTCTCTGCCAGCCCTACATGTTATTTCACTTTCTCTTATGCAGACGTTTTACAGCAAGCATTTGAAAGAAATGTCTGATCAATCACAGATAGATGGCCTTTTCCTAGGTATTTACTTGACTGTTGAAAGTGAGAAATTTTTTAAATAATTGGTTTTCTTAATTTAAAATAGCATAACATGTTATTAACTGATTAAGCTGTATGCTGTGTTTTAATGTGCAACATCTTTTTCTTCTGTTAGTGAAGAGAAATACATGATTTATAGCCATACCTTTACATAATTATGACGTTAAACCATTGCTTATTTTTGTGATATACCAGAAATATTATTAGTGGTTGAAGATCAAAATCTTTAAGACCTTGAAACACAAGGTCTTGAAACTGATGCTGTCAGTTCTGAAATTACTATTCTCATGCTCCATATTTAGCCTGTATGCACTCCATTATTACTGTAGCATCACCATGATATCACCATTAAAATGCAATGTATGGTGATTGAATGTATATATGTGCCAGACTTGCAGTAAAGGCTAAAATCAATTTTATAAAGTGGAATTCATTGCCTCTCACAATTACATGCTGGTAATAAACTGGTCCTGTAGCTGTATGACATTGAGGACCATAGTTTGCAATATATGTTGTAGTGCAGTTTGCTTTTTGAGAGATTATTGTGAATATAAACTCCCTAGTGAAAAGGTGAGAGAGTCCCTTGATAGGGGAGCAGGCTTTTGGTGCAGAAGACTTTTCTGGGACGTTCCCATGGAATAATAGTCACAGATGTCATAACAAAACAAGTTGTTTTGGGAGCATACAGAACCTGGGGAAGGAATATGTGCTCTGACTTTTTACCTTATTCAACCAGACTTTTATATGGGCAAAATAATTATTGTCTGTGTTGTGCCAAAAAAAAAACATCAGCTGAGAGTTTGTGTGTTGAAAGTCGTGTTTATTTCATATGCATATGGAAGTCCTGTGTTGGGACACAAGACTTAAAAGACAACGTTTACAGTGCTCTTTTATGCAGTGAAACAAACAATACAAGATACTGTACACTCCCACATGACTCGTTTCTTGCATTGTGGCTATATATGGTCATTCTAGAAAGCTGACCAGTGCATATAATTTCTTTACTGCTGGCTTGTGTGATGCCCCTTCTGCTGAATAGACCATTTGTTCGAGGAGAGGTCACTCAGTCATTTCCCTATGCCTATTCCCTATTCCCTATGAGAGCTATGCCAGCTATGCGTAAAGACACGATGTGGCTATGTTATCTTTTGAGACCAGACGGATTTAGTAAAATATAAGTAAAAAGATACATAGTCAACAAGATATAATAGAAACTTTTAGTAAAAACATTTAATAAATTCCCCTATCTGTAACACTAAAGATAATTAAAAACTAATTTAAGAACTGAAAGCTAGTTTCCAATTATTATAATTTATTATAATTACAGTATATCTGTAGCGGCAATGCTTATTAATAAGACAGAATTAAGCGTTGCTGTGCTTTCCTAAATGAGGCCCCATCTCTTTCTTCATCTCTGTGGTGCAGCCACAGAGAAGCTATTCACGCAGGCTGATTTAGGATTTTTTCTTTTGATAAGGGACAGCTCCCAAATGGGGATGCACTTAGCTAAGCCTGGCTATCATGATCAATGTAGTTCAGGTGGGTAGCTGCGTCACCATGCGTAGGCTGCAAAGGAACAAGTAATGGGTTTATTCCATGCTGAAAAAAAGAAGAAAGCGAACACAACATTTCGGCCGTGGAGCCTTCTTCAGGAGCCTTCTTCACACCTGAAGAAGGCTCCACGGCCGAAACGTTCTGTTCTCTTTCTTCTTTTTTTCAGCATGGAATAAACCTATTACTTGTATCATGATCAATGGTCATCCATTGGCGCCTATCTGTCTAGGGAGTGCCAGATGGACATCTGGACTGCATTCCTAAGTGTCAGGAGTAATTGACTGATATCTCACCTTGATAAACCAATCAGGGACTGGCAGGGCGTGGTAACACCACATGGGTCTCCCATGCCTGCCAAACTCTCAACCAATCAGCACACATGTGTGTCTTGGTCAAAAAGGTAGTGCAAGCTCAGGTTGGAGCTCTCCTTGGCCATTTTTCGCGCACCCTCAGAGACAATCACATGACAACTGCTGTTGTCTGCACTGGGACTTGGACTTTGTTCTAAGCGTGAGGCCGAGGATCCTGTACGTACTCAAGACGCAAGGGTGATTCAATCCAGGCATAGACCCTCCGGTCCTGATCACGGCCGTCTCCCTGCCCGCGGAGAAGCCGTAAAAATTAACCTCCGCTCCCTGAGACAGCTAGCCAAAGATGTAGAAAGGTTTGACCCGTCAGTGTCAGGGAATAATGTGGAGACCTACATCGATGAGTTGAAATACACTTTGCAGTTTATGTCCGAAGCAACAGAGCAGGAAAAGGCTATGTGTGTAAGAAAAACTACCAGCCAAGCGGTCCACGAGTGGATGTCTAGACAAGGACCGGAGGTCTTTAATAGCTTTGAGGAGCTGTGTCAAGCAATGATCGGAGAATTTTCGGCTTTTATCGATCCCATATCTGCCATGGCCGCTGCGCACCATATTAAGCACGAAAAAGCTGAAGCCCCTCGCGAATATTATGAGAGGCTAAGGCATACTTATTTTGCAGGGTGGAATGAAGAGGGTTGCGAAGAGAACGTGAATTTCAAAAGTTTATTCATTGCTAATCTTCATCCCTCAGTCAGGAAAATGATTGTGATGCAGGCTGATGCAATAACGATGAAAATGGCTGACATTAGAAGGTTGGTGCAAAAAGCCTGGGGAGCTGAAGTATCTGCTTGATCAGAGAGCAAACCTGCTAAAACGTCCGTGTTCGCCACTAAAGCCAGCAGGGTTGACGACTCGTCTCGGCTCGAGGGAACGAACCAGTTTCTTCCCGTGCAAAAGAGTGACATGCGAGGACCCGCTCTGTGTCACACTCTGTGCATAGAGACATATAGGCTCAAGGGAACGAACCAGTTTCTTCCCGTGCAAAAGAGTGACATGCGAGGACCCGCTCTATGTCACACTCTGTGCATAGAGACTTTCTACTAGTCAGCCGGGCTACTGGTAGATCCCTGGGAGCAACTACTGCCCTGGGCGCCACAGTTAGATTCCTCCACCTGTCCTACTCCGAGCTGCACCTCGATCGGTTGGCCGGTAGCCAGAGGATGCCTAGACAGACACCTATTGGACGACCGCTGGAACAGAGGTTGCAAAGGAGCCTGTCAGCTGGTTTGGTGTTCGTGCCGGGAAATTCCAAATCCATACACATTGGATAAGTAAACCCCATGTTCTACATTGCGTCTTGAGAATTTAATTCTACCTCAACACAAGTTGTTATCAATTTAATTCATGAGTAATGTATTTACTTCCGAGTTTAGAGTAACAGTGGGTAATAACACTGATTAGCGATTTGGGGTAGCTGAACGATATATTGAAATATATTCTCTGTTGTGTATCTTTTTGTGTTTGAATCTCTTCAAGATTATGTACCCTGTATATTGATAACCCTCACAGTAAGGTCTGCCGCCTGTATCCAGGCAGACTGGTATATGTTTGGTGCACAATTTATGTTTAATAAATGTATCTCGTGTATTGAATCCATGTGTGTGCGTTGTTAGTTGTTCTGACGATTGATTTTCTAAAAGCCACAACGAACCACCTCATGATAACTGCTACAATTAATAATTGTCTCAGTAAAATCATAAAACCACTACATATATTACAATATAGTAATGTAAAAAACATAATCCTTTAATCAGACATTTCTTTGTGTTGTTATATGTGCACATATGTTATATGATTTTTTTCATACAGAGTTCAAATTCCTTTAAAAGGTGGTCATTTGTTGCTGAATGATGTTTTTGCCTTTCTAAATCTTGGTAATCTTAGAAGTTGTCTGGCTAGTAACTATGAACCTCTTCATCCTACAGGATATACAGCAGGTAAAGAGCCCAGAGGAGCTGGAAAACTTCATGTTGAAACATGGGGAGAATATTATTGACACACTGGGAGCCGAGGTTGACAGACTTGAAAAGGAGCTGAAGGTGATCATGATTTTTTATATATAAACCATATTTTACAAACTGCATGTCTTCATAGGACTTTCATAGGACCTGCAGCTGTCAGATTAAATACAGATTAAAATATGTCAATTCAGAAACATTAAGTCTTCCAAGCGAAATAAAAGGCCAAGCAGACTAACTGCAGTCTGTACTCTATCAATGTACAGATGTAACCACTCAGAATGAGCGTTAATTCTTAGTACTGAGTTGGCAGTACCACCACGTGATTGGTAGTGTAATTCATTGGTCAAAGATGATCAATAAGTGACTCTTGTGGTGCACACAACAGTATTCCACCTTCTTCATAAACATTTTATACATCAAAGCGTTTAACTTTTGGTAGCTGAAAATAGTTTCTAAATGTCGTTAATGATATAAATTTATGGACCTAAATATATTTATAAAGCTGGTAGTGGTATCGCATCCCACTTTCTTCATAAACATGCATCGATTTCATTAACTCGTTCACTTGTGATTTGGGAAACATTTTGGCATGTTCATTTTAACTGCATTTTTTCTGTCATTGCTGACAATGAAACACTCATAGTGCGTATTTTAGGGAACTGTACTCAAATGGCACTCTAGTACAGTAGGTAATTTTCATCTGCTACTTAGAATGTCCAAGGTTCGATTCCTGGTCAAAGCACAAGTTTTATTTTTCAAAATTATAGTAGGGCTGTTTTACAAAGCTAAGTTACTCAGCTCTGTAAAATTGCCCCCCCTAAAAAAGACCCAAATGATAAAAACCCACCTCATTTGTTGGTGCTGCTTTTGTGCTGTTGAAAGTGGATTCTCAGCTGCTTTCAGTTCAGAGATATAGCGCCTTCTTTTTCTGGGTGTGACGTCACTCAGCCCCCCTACAACATTGTAGGAGAACCAAACCACTCTCATTCATTAGTTTGATGTTTGTGCCATTGAAAGTAGCTTCCCAGCTGGTTTAATTTCAAAGATATAACACCTTCGTTTTAAGGGTGTGCAGGCCCCCTATAATGTTGTAGGAGATGTGAACCGGTCTTGTTTGTTAGTGCCAGTTTGTGCCATTGAAAGTAGCTTCCCAGCTTCTTTCGTTCCCAAAATATAGTGCCTTCTCTTTTTGGTGATCAAGTGACCATGTACGGCGACATTGACCTCCAGTAACCCCATCTGTTAGGTTCAAACACTCTATTACTGGTGTGAGAGTAACAATGTCTGCAGTTTTTTTTCTGTTTGCCCAGGGGATGGGCAGCGTTTGATTTGGCTTTTAACACCATTATCTTGTGTGTATGTGTGAACAGGAAAATTAAATTTGTCTCCAATATCATACCCAAATCAGAAGAGTTGTGGGTTAGCCATGAAAAGTGAACATTAGCAAACAATTGCATGTTCTTAAAATAGGTTTTAACTCACACATTTAAAAAGCCTAGAATTTGCAACTTCCTGTTGCCATTGTTTTTATATCTTGTTTATGCCAAAAAAACATAAATCAATGCAGAATTTTTTAATTTTTAAAGGGGCACTGTGTACTAAAGTAACCCAGGTAAGTCATAACACAACTGCAAAACAACATTGTGAAACTCTATCATCTTAAACATGCAGACCACAGAAATATTGGAAAATATATTCAGATAAAATAACTGAACATATATCTAAGATCTTAAAAATAGCCTTTACCCTTCTCTTTTTATTTACAGTGCTCTTACATGCAAACATAGCACGATTAGGTCACAGTCCCTTTATTTTTGTGTTTCTGGTCAATCTTTGGTGAGGGTACACCTTGCCATCTGAAGACATAGATGTTAACTCCAAAAAACATCTCAGATTGGAGTCTCAGAGGTATTTCCAAAATTCTATAAAGGAAGCACCAAAATAGAAAAAACACATCTTAGGTTTTATTACCAGCATTAGTAAGGGAAAATTTGGATAAGGGAGATATTGGTTGCTGTCTGAACAGGAAACCAGTGACCACCTTACAGTTTTGGGCCATCCAGCACTGATGTTTTGTTTCTTCATTTCAGCAACGCAATCCAGAAGTTCGGCACGTGGACCTGGAGATCCTATAAAGCTGTGACGAGAGAATATAAAGGAACCATCTGGAGTAGAATACTCAGACACCACAGAAGGGTGCACTAAAGAATTAAATTGCAATTTTCTGAACAACCATAATGTGTTATTTAAGTGATATGAAGCTTTATACTCAAACACCCCAAAAATGACTTTAGTGTTTGGCAATAAACCACTCCATGTTTTTTTCTGTTTATACACTGACTACGGCATGTCAGTGCTCCTTCCATTCAGTAGGAAACATCGGGGAAGATTTTTTCCTTTTCCTACTGTGATAGTAGAGTTCTCCTGGTAAATCTCAATTTTTCTTTCAGAAACATTTATGAAATAAATTAAACAGTTCTGTTCTGTAAACTATTAGTTTAAACATTATGAAAATTAACAGCTGTGCAGAAATTATGAAGCTGTGTTTTAGTTGACTGATCTAATTAAATCATTTTAATAAGCATGCAAATAAAATTGTCTGCTAAACAATATTTTTTCTTTGATAAGTAAAGCAGTTGTCATTTTCACTTAGCAGGACTGAGTAAAACATACTGAAAATTTGTAGTTCTCAATCATTGTTATTCAAATTATAAGATGACAAAATGGTTATTGTGTAACTGCTTCAAAAGCAAAATAAGTGAAATATTTTGTTCTTAATACTTCATACTCTGGTTTCATTACCCATTTTAAACAAGATGCACTTGATGTTAGAATGTTTGATGCCATTGGTGTTCTCTTTTTATTTTCCAGAAAAAGATTGTGCATTTCTGTTTTAAAAAAACATATGAGGTAATGAAGATGAAAGGCTTTTGTTTAGTAAACATGTACTGAAAAGGCAGTTCCATTACTTGTTTCAAATAAGAAGTTAGCAGTTATGTTTTATTTTACACCCATTCAGTGTGGAATCTCCAGTAGTTTAGGACAGCCTTAAAACTGGACGCAGGGTGAATCCTTGGATATGATCCTCTTACAAGCTTCCTTGTCAAAAGCCATTTATTATATGACACTTTGGGCTCTACAGTGCCTTGGAGGCACCGATTGGTACTCGATACACTGTTTCAGCAAAAGTCACAAGATTCCTGGTGAACAAAAAAACTACTCAAACCTGACAACAGTCTGTCAACCTTTTCTTGAACTGGTTAGCTTGTATTTACATCAGATCATATCTAAAATTATATATGTATATTTTACCCTTTACCATTCTCCTGAATGGATCAGTCATGGTTTTTAATTGCTTTGAAATTGTCTTATTATACTGTGGAATTACTTTGCAAATTAGCAATACTTAAACATTGCAACCTTTCTTCACTGGAAGAATCACACAAAAAGCAAATGTGTGTCTTGAAATATATACAGATGCAGCCATTCAAAATGGGTGGGGTATTTCGCGGCATACCCCGGTGGGCGTGTCGCGGTATCACGCGGTATCACACAGTATCACGCAGTATCACGTGGTTAATCGCGTCATTTGACGTCATGCCGGAAACTATCCGGCGTCACCTTGTAAAACGCGCCAGGGGGAGCTTAACCTCTCATGTACAGCATTTGAGCTTTTAATTTTGAACTGTGTATTACAGCATGTTAATCATCAGTCATTAAAATGTTGGTTTATTTTATGAAAGCAAGATTGCTCAGTTGGACAAAAGTACACAACCCACCTTTATCAGAAATATTTATGCATCAAAGCCTTTAC